ATCCTGACTTGGGGTCAAGGAAGCTGGCATATTCAGTCACCCATCCCCATCCATTCTTAGTTGAGGACTGCTTCTGGGGGCATTAAAACTTCAGCACCTCTGGCTTGCCCTGCCTTAAGGCAGAGAATTACAGGGTTCTTCAATGCGAACAGCCTTTTGGGAGTAGAGGTGAGTGTCCAGGGGAATGTGGGTAGGGTACCAGCAGCTTCTGCTAGAAAGGTCATGAGTTAAAAATTTCTTAATTCCTTGTAGAAAGAGTTTTGTGAACTTGAGGCAGCAAATCTCTCCCTAAACTGAATGGTCTGGAAGCTGCAGTATGGGAAGAATTTGGAGGAGCCAAGGGTTGTGTCTAATGGAGATGGTGGACATCAGCTGGTGGCATTCTACAAGGGACTGGTATATCAGTTAGACACCTGGATGCTTTGACACCTCATCCAAGAAACAGCTGTGGATACTAGAAGTTATTGATAAAGTCCCTGGGTGGCGCAGAGTTTGCACTTGACTACTAACCTAAAGATTTGGCAGTTGAATCCCAATCAGCAGTGCCACAGAAGAAAGGCCTGGTAATCTGCTTCTGTAAAGATTAAAGCTAAGAAAACCCTATGGAGCAGTTCTACTCTGTGGTCTCCATGAGTCAGAATGCACTCGATGGCAACAGGTTTTACTAGAGTTACTACTACTATCAGTTGCCATCAAGTTGACTCCAACTCATGGTGACCCCATGTGTGTCAGATAAAATTGTGCTCCATAAGATTTTCAGTGGCTGATTTTTTGGAAGTAGATCACCAAGCCTTTCTTCTGAAGCACCTCTGGGTTCACTCAAACTTCCAACCTTTCAGTTAGCAGCCAAGAGTGTTAACTGTTTTCACCGCCTAGGGATTCCAGGTACTAGGGTTAAATGAAGGAGCTCTGGTGGCACAGGGATTAAAGAGCTCAGCCGCTAACTAAACGATTGGTAGTTTGAATCCACCAGCCGCTCCATGGGAGAAAGATGTGGTAGTCTGCTTCCGTAAAGATCACAGCCTTGAAAACCCTATGGGGCAGTTCTACCCTGTCCTATAGGATCACAATTAGTCGGAATCAACTCCACAGCAACGAGTTTGGTTTTTTGGTTTTGGTGACAAAATGGTTAAGTGCTCGACTACTACCCCAAAAAGTCATGGTTCGAATCCACCAGCCACTCTGTGGCAGAAAAGACCTAGTGATCTGCGTCCATAAAGATTACAGCCTAGGAAACCCTACGAGGCAGTTCTCTTGTCTTGTAGGGTCATTATGAGTACGCGTTGATTCTACCGCACACGGTAACAACAACAGGGATAAATGCCTTGTTACTGGTTTACTTTTCCTTAGTTTCCTGATCCCCAAAGCTTCCTACATTCTAGGAGATAGATTTGAGTTTCCAAAACCTAGATGGAGAACCTGAGGTGCACAACTAAATTGCGTGAAGGTAAATTATTGGGGTGATGACTGTATGAAGACCACTTAGAGCGAGACTTCCTAAGCCTTGGACCAGGGAGTTAGCACCTTCTACTCATCTAAGGAAATTTGACTTGGCACTCATTCCTGGCCCACTGTTCGTTTCACTCCTTGCTTGCTGGGCCAAGGAGTTCGCAAATTTCTTCTGGACAATTCATGCAAGAAATACTTCAAACCAGTATTGAGTTGCTGTGGAGGTACTCCCGTTATTATTAAATGAAAAGATGTTGGTAGTTTGGGCATTTGCTTCCTCATTTTCAGCCCCTACTTCCCAAATAGGTTCACCCTGGACATATCATTTTAGTTACCTCAACCCCGGAAGAATTCCCTGCTCATGCTTCTTAATGGTGAGGTCTACTCTATTTTTAAATACACCCCTATGCTCCCTATCCCCATCACTGTTTTGCTTTTCTCTATGACACAATCTGATATACTTAATACCTAACTTATTTGTTTATCTATCTCCCCTCTGCTTGAGTATAAGATCAATTAATGCAGAAATTGTTTCCTGGTTTGTTTGTTTTCATTGTTCTATTCTCAATACCCAGAACAGTGCCTGGTACATACCAGAAGCTCAGTAAATATTTCTTGAATGAATGAGTGAACTAAAGGTGGGTTCACCGAGACCTTTTGCTGATGAGACCAGTACATCTCTCCTTAATGTTCTTTGTGGAAGCACGTCTCCTGGAGTTTCCTATCTGGCGGAATTGAGAGAGGCATGATCCTGAAATGCATCTTGCAAGTCTCCCAACAGCTTTGGAGCTTGCAAGTCTCCCAATAGCTTTGGAGTTGCACACATCTGGTTTGACTCACACCTAGGCCACTTACTAGCTGAGAGATCTTGTTCAAATAAATGATCTGAGCTTCAATTTCATCATCTGCAAAAGGGAGGTAACAATGCCATTTTTGTCAACTTTGCAGAGTTTCTAATAGGATTTAATGAGTCAAAACATACAAGGCACTTAACAGTGCATGTTCTGTTCTTATCTGCCATAGAGTCAATTCTGACTCATGGCAATCTCACGTGCTAGATGATCAGAAAGAAGCATTTTCTTCCCTTCCTCTTAATTTCCAGGGAAATCATCAATTTGTTGACAACGCAGTGACACCAAGACTGGCGAAGGTTGGTCAAAGCAGATTCTGGGGGAGGATGTGGAAGGAGGATAATGAAAACTAGAGAAGGAGAGACAGACAAGACGAAAAAAACTCTGTTACCAGGACTTGGACCACCTTTCACTTCTGGTCCTTTGTAAAGGAGTCCTTTTGTCAGTGCCACATGTCAGGGAGTTGAAAGATTTAGTCTTTACAATCTTAAGCCTTGCCCCAATCATTACTTTTCTAATGTTGTACCTCTTAGATTGGCACATGACTCAGAGCAAACTCATCACTGGAAAATATGTCCTCCTTTAGCTAAAAGGAGCTGACTGCATAAGAACCTAGCCTGGGCAGACTTAATTATCAAAGGAAATGTGTCTCAGAATGAATTATGTGATGGGTCTTAAAGCAAAATGCTTTTATCTTACTTTTTATGTACACAGTATTGGGTTTTAATCACTTAAACAATGAGGAAAGACACTTCCTTACCTGGATGAGAACGGATAGAGCTTGGAACAGAATTTTCTGACACAGCCTATATGTTGACCCTGGGTGCCTTTGACAAATGCACTATGTTTATTCACTTCCTCTTCTAGTATCCTCCCTACTACCTTAATTTTAAGGAAAAAAATATGTTGTTACTGTCATTTTTCCTTAGAGTAACTTCCCTGAGCATCTGGGTACCTACAGAATCTGTTCTGAAGGAAGACATGATAAGAGTAGTTAAAGAACTGCTGAACTTGGATATGTGGCTGATGAGATTTCTAAGCATGAACTTAAAGGGGCCACATGGTTTCTCACTGCTGTTTGTAATAAAATGCGAGAGGAAAGAGATGAACTTAAAAATGAACTGTGCAAAATGAAAACAAAACTTAAAAGATTTGTAAAATTCTGTTGTACACGTCCTAGAATTTTCAACAAGGATGTAGCTACACAATCTTTTGTTAAAGAGATTAAGCCTGTGACTGATGGATCTAACCAACTACCACAGCAGAAAACCCATCAGCTTAGATTGAAGGTGACAGAAAGAATGAAAGGAAAGAATGCTGTCTGCCTCTTAGCATTCTACAGGCAGGAAACAGGCCAAAGGAGCTACAGGTGTTCTCCAAGAAAAGAAAAGGACCATCCCTGGAGCAAATTGGAGATCAGCAGACCTGTTGGAAGGAGCACGGGAAGCAGAGCTGCCTCGGTCTCAGAGGGTGGAGCCATGGCCTCTGGGGTGTCAAAGGGTAGAGCCACAGCCTCCTAGGTTTCAAAGAGTCAGATCTTCAAGTTTGTTCTGGAGTGTGGGGCTGCCATTCAGTTTGGCCAAGAGGATGGGGCTGCTGCCCAAAGATGAGGGGGTGGGGCTGCCATGCTCAAGGGGCAGAAGAATGGGGCTTGCTGAGGCTGAGGGGGTGGGGTTGCCACTCAGATGGACTAGGAGAATGAGGCTGCCCAAAGCCAGGGGAACAGAGTTGTCCTAATGGGCCTGGAAGGCAGAGCTGAAGACCAGGACTGAGGGGCCTCCACCCAGAATACAGAGAGCATGGCTGACACCTAGAGTCTGGAGGGCAGGGCCGTTGCCTAGATAGTCTCAGAGAACAGAGGATTACTTTCAAGCCTCGACAGCTAATGCAATTTGTTCTGAGGGGTTTTGGAGTTGCTTGGTGCCTGTTATCCCTTCTTCCCCTCTAATTTTTCCCATTTGTAATGGAAATGTCTACCTTGTGCCTGTTCTACCACTGTACTCTGTAAGAAGATAACTTGTACTCTAGATTTCACAGTTTCACAGATGAAGAGGTATTTTGCCCCAGGATGGAATATCCCTTAAGTCTCACCCATATTTGATGTAGATGCTTCAGAAGATGAGATTTTTGCATTTGGAATTGGCTTAAGACATTTTTCAATGACGTGATGGCCTAAAGGTGTTTTACATATGGCAAGGACATGAGTTTTTGGGGGCCAAAGGGTGGAATGCTATGGATTGAATTGTGTCCCCCCAAAATATGTGTTGTAAATCCTAACCTCCTTGCCTGTTGTTATAATTCCATTTGGGAGTGGGTTATCTTTGTTAAATTTACGAGCAGGATTAGTGTAGGGTGTGTGTTGAGTCAATCTCTTTTGAGATATAAAAGAAATTAAACAAGTAGAATAGATATGGGGGAAGAAAGATACCAAGTCACATGAAGATTGCCCAGGAGCAGAAGCTAAAAGAGAGGATGACCTTCCTCCAGAGCCGACAGAGAAAGAAAGCCTTCCCCTAGCGCTGGCACCCTAAATTCAGACTTCTAGCCTGCTAAACTGTCAGAGAATAAATTTGTTTGTTAAAGCCATCCACTTGTGGCATTTCTATAATAGCAGCACGGGATAACTAAGACACCTGGCTTCCTCTTCTGGTGTGAGTGCAAAAATCAGACAGGGTTCATGAAGAAATTAAAACAGACAACTGGAGTTTATAATTTTTAATCATTTTAAACTAGCTACAAAATGTCAATCACTTCACAAACTGACAGAGGAGACAGGAGGAATTTAATATTACATGCTGTAATGATATTTATCTCACAGTTTATCTATATTTCATTCATTTATATTATTTTTTAAAGGTTTCTTTATCAGCTACTAAACATCTCAGCAATTTGGTGTGCATAGCTCTAGATTAAGCAACAGAGAATTGTACTGATAACCAACCACAGGGGAAATGGCAATTAATAAGAGTCAGCCTTATAAAATTTACATCTCCACACTGTTTCACAGCAAGATGGCCTTGTCCAAAACATAGCCTTCAAAAGCAACACACAAACCCTATATTACATCTATTTGACATCGTTTCAGCCAAAGGTATATTTTGCTGGAAGTGATTTAATGGCGAGTCTGTCGAATCCATCTTTTTTTTTAAATTCATTTTTTTAAAAAAGGATGATTATGATTAATAAGTCTATATATTAACAGAAAGGAAAGTGACACTACTGTAATTTCCTGGTATAACTTAATCTTGACAGTGTCTCAATACTGAGCATGCTTGGTTGTTGTTTTGCTGTTGTTGTTGGTTGTGTGATTGTGTTGTCTCATCAGTGAGCTGTCATGGAAAGTTTTCGTGTAAGTAGGAATCTAAAAATCTATTTAGTTCTCATGCATAAATGCATAAATCACATCACTTTGAGTGCAGTGCCTGTTATGTAATTCCACATTGTCTGATCATGAAATCGTAGAGACAGATGACAGCCATGAGAAACCAAGGACAGCAAATTTAGAGTTTCAGAGCCTGACACTCAAAAAAAGGACCGTGGCAGTAGCTCTGTGGAATGTCATAGTTTTACAAGAACAATACTGTATATCGAAAGAATCAACAGCACATTGAGCATTCCTAAATTGTTGTCATTCAGCAAATGCCAACAAGGGGAGAAAAGGAAAAATAAACCCAAAGACATCTTACGTAGGGAGTAGAGCCACCAAATGACCACTATATACAACCTTTGGAAAGAAAGAGACCCAGAAAGAACAAAAGACACACAGTATTGTTGGGACATGAGAGACAACACAGGACAACATTCTTGATGAGGGTGGGCTGATGTGTGTGTGCAGACCTACTATGTAATACCATGAGAAAAGCATGAAGTTGCTATCTTGCTTGACAGCATTCAGAAGAGAACTCAAGTGGGCCCATTTAACCGCTCCCCAGCATCTTCGTTGCACGCTGGTTGGCTTCATCAATTCTGGTTTTGTTGGAATCAGCCTGGAAAAAGGGGAAAGAGAACAGAATTCAGGTTACCCTTTAAAATTCCATTCATTCCTTCTTGGTCCAGGTCAAATACCATCCCTTGGGTGAAGCCGGTAGAAAATTCTCTAGCCAGAATTGACCATCCCTTCCTTTGCATTTCCAGAACCACTGCTTAGTGCTCAACTGGATGTGACCATAGAAGCTTGATTAGTTCTCATAACTATTTTCCCCACCAGACAGCATCCTTTTGAGGGCAGGGTTATATCATTTATCTTTCTGTCCCTGAAATAACACCCAGTGACTTCCATGGTAGGCATTCAAATTTGCTGGATTGACTTGAATTACCACCACTTGTGCAGCTGAGTTCAAATCATGGCTAACTTTTTTAGCAGTGCCACTTTGGACAAATTAACATTTTGAGGGTTCAATTTTCTCATCTATAAGCTGGAGACAATAAAGAATAATGTTAAAGAGTATGAGCACCTAATGTTCTACTCATTAAATTTTGATGACATCAAGATCGACAACATCAACTATCAGAGGTGTACTAGTGTTAGCTCCTTTTTCCAAGTGAGCAAGCCAGGCAGAGATGGTTTATGCAATTTGTCTAAAGGCGTAGCACCAGTAAGAGGAGAAGCCTGGGTCAGGACACAAGCATCCTGGAGTGCAGCTGGGGTCAGAATGTAAGCCGCCTATTAATCACTATGTTAATCCCCATACTACTTAGGTTTGCTGTGAGGATTAAATGAGTTTGTACACATAATGTGCTTAGACTAATGTTTTGCAAAAATGAAATGCTGTTATCCTGAAATTATAGTTATTAGGAGACAACCTGGCTTGCTTTCAGGATGTCTGTGTTTCTAAACCATGTTTTTGAAGACTCGGTCATACGGTTTTGATAACTGACTTGTCTTTAACAGGGGCACATTTACCATAATTTTGTGCCTTGCTCACTTAGCTTCTTGGTTGATCTGCTCACTATTTGAATTACTTTTTGTTGTACATGAAGCATGAAACCCAGGGCTGCTACCAGGACAGACCTTTAAGCCCTAGAAAATGAACTATTCCCATCATCATGAGAAAGACATGAGTCAGCAAGTAGAGAAGACAACGAAGATTCTATTTAGGTTGCTGTTTTGGCCTATTGTGATTGGCAACACCGTCCTTTAACCCAGGAAGAGCCGTCGGAAACTGAGAGGCAGTGTAAGGAAACAACTGTTTATCAGTCAACAAGTCAAACTGACTATGTTCCCACTATTAATTCTTCATGCTTTCCAGTCTCTACTGAGATGAGTCTTCTTTATTCAGTTTGAAGTATGAATTTCTAGAACACTAAAGTTATCCATTTTCAAATAGAAACTGGCAAAGTTAAAATAACTATTTCTAGATTATTCATAACTCTAAATTACCTGGCAGTGGCTTTTCACCAACAGTTGGGATAATAGGCAGTTGACTTCCAAAACAAGTATTTACACTATAAGATAGAGCATTAATTTCTTTGTTTTGACCTGTAGAATATTTTTGACCTTAGGTACCTCATTTAGAAAATGGTTAATCCCTCCAATTTCCTTTGGCTCCTAAATCTTCCCTCTCCAGCTACAAATCCCATTGGTATAAAGGAAAACCATGGGCTTAGACTAATATGATATATTCCTGCAGATAGAATTATGCTGAATATTTCTTTTTCAGACTGAACTCTGAGAAAAGCTCAAATGAGAAAAATCAGCCATTTAAAAATGGCAAAATATTTTATTACATTTTATCAAAGCAAAAGTTATAGGATTTGTTGCATCAGAAATGCACTACTGAGCCTTCAGAGAGTGGGGCAAGTGAATATTTTAAAGTAGAGCATGAGGGTCACTCTCCAGATGTTCTAAAAAATGTAGGTTAGGAATAGACCTACATTTACTGGTCATCTGTGGATTCCATCTAATTTCTTTCTGAAGCACCTCAAAATTTCAGCCCATACAGTACTCAACACAAAATACATCCCATCTTTTTTCACATTCTGTAAAAAAGTAGTGCCTTTTTGTTTTAAATCTCAAATAACCTCCTCTTAGGCATCCTCCTGGTATTTAGAGAATGCCTCTGTGTTCATCTTATTTATATGCTGTGGGACTTTATTTGTGGAGGACACCTATCCCAGCTTTCATAATCCTGAAGTTGCTGGTCTACCCAACCTATGCTACATGGTTTTTCCTTGTGAGAAAGCTAGGATGACCACAGGAGGGCCAGTGAGAGAATTAGAAGGAGCTGTTCAGTCCATCAGGGAGCCCTGGTGGCACAGTGGTTAAAAGCGCTTGGCGGTTTGAACCCACCAGCCACTCCACAGGAGAAAGATGGGGCAGTCTGCTTATGTAAAGATTACACCCTTAGAAGCCCTATGGGGGCAGTTCTACTCTGTCTTATAGGGTTGCTAAGAGTCGGAATCGATTCGACAACAGTGGATTTGGTTCAGTCTGGAGGCCTGGTGGCACGGTAGTTAAGTGCTTGGCTGCTAACTGAAAGGCCGGTGGTTCGAAGCTACCAGTGGCTCTGCGGGAGAAAGATGTGGCAGTCTGCTTCCATAGAGGTTTACAGCCTTGGAAATCCTGTGGGGTCGATAAGAGTCGGAATTGACTTGACAGCAGTGGGTTTTTGGTTCAGTCCACCCTTCTGAACACCCTGGGAATCTCAGCTTCAGAGAGTGGCAGCTCAGATTAGGCCCCAGCTCAGACTTCCAGAATTGACGCCCAATACCGTACATGGCAGAGCCCTCATGGCACAGTGGTTAAGAGCTTGGCTGCTAACCAAAAGGTCAGCAGTTCAAAGCTGCCAGCTGCTCCTTAGAACCCCTATGGGGCAGTTGTACTCTGTCCTATAGGGTCACTATGAGTCAGAAGTGACTCGACGGCACCGGGTTTGGTTTTTTTGCTACCCCACATGGCAGCCCATTTAGATCCCAGATTTGAACTGTTCTCTTATTAACCCTATCTTTTGGATGAGGCAACCAGGTGACAGAGCTAGTGAGTGGAGACTTCTTCTAGAACCCAAGGTCTTAGTTTTCAAACACTGTTTCTTCACTGATAGAAGAATTAGGCATGTGCTGAAGCTTTTGCCTCATTGTATTTCACCCTGTACATGACATCTACCACTGACAATTTTAAATTGAAGCTTGAACATCACTAACTTATTTCCTTAGCAACAGTTCCCAGAAAGCATATGATATAAACTTGCCTCTGATTTAGCCATTTTCTGAAAGAATTGTACCTTTTTAACCTTAGATGATTTTCTATCTATAAATACTCTTAAGCTGAAAGCGAGGTTTTTAAACAGACCCAAGTCATTTCTTGACAGCCTATAACCAAAAAAACCCAAACTCATTGCCGTCAAGTAAATTCCGACTCATAGTGACCCTACAGGACAGAGTAGAACTGTCTCATAGGGTTTCCAAGGAGCATCTGGTAGATTCAAACTGCCGACCTTTTGGTTAGCAGCCATAGCTCTTAACCACTACACCAGCAGGTCCATAGGAATGTATTATAGATATCATTGTTCTGGGCTCTCAAAACTTCAATATTTATTAACCCAAGTGATGGGGGAGGATCATGATTAATGGAATTGGGTGAAGGTTGTGGTGGGGTCATGAGAGAATATGGGAGAAACAGTGCAAGACACTCCTCCTTACTCCTACTGTGTGATGTTAATTAAGTCTTAGATGTGTAAGAGATTTTTGCGCTGTTTCCTCCTATCAGCGGTGAGAAACTACAAGAGAAGGAGGAAATCTATTAATGATTGTGCAGCTCATGTCACATGTACCATTTGGAGCAATGGTGGGTTGGACTAAGCTCTAAATCATGGTGAGATTATGATTTTTGAAATAGAAGCTCTTTTAAAGGGTTGACTGGAACGAATTCATTGTTCAAAGTCAACTAGCCCCTCCCCACTTTCTTAAACAATTCAGCACTCAGGGAAGGACACAAACAAGAATAATCATTTGATTTCCCATTTACTCGCCTGGCCTTTGATTAACCCTTAGAAAGCTGCAAATGTCTCTGCCCTTGCAGTAAGTTGGGCCCCGAATGAAAGATTTTCCCTGAAGATGAGAAATAGAATGCACAATGACAGATTAAGTTGCCACTTGCCTTTCCAGGAACACTTTTGCATGCTTAATGTCCAACTGTATCAATAAAGGTTTGACCTCTCCATTAGTAAAACCTCTCCTTCTAAATCTAATTGGCTTTGATGCATTATCTACCTGCATCTGTGAGAAAATTGGGTCCACTGACAGAAAATGAATACTTCCTGAGTGTTTTAAAAATCATTTTCCCCTTGGAAGGCAGTTCAGCAATTCTGAGTTCATTTTTCTGTGCCGTAATTGGTTAGGTCGGATTGTGTTGCCTCCAGTGCTTTTTGAAACTCTCCATATTGTTCGAAAATCCATTGACTTGCAGGGCTTTAAAAGCTTTAGCGTATCAAAGGCCTCTTAACAGTGATATGTGTGTCATGACTTGAAAAAGTAAGCAAAGCACAAGCATTTTGCCAACCAAAACTGACATGTGTGTAGCCCAATATTGATCAGGCAAAATATTATGCCATCAGATACTTTTAATATGGAGCACATAGAACACAATAGGGCTAAGTGTTCCCTTTACATCTACTCATTCCTTTTTCAAGTCAGTGTAGGCTGCCTGGGTGCCAAGACAGTAACTATTTAGATTTATGATTGAAAAAATCTCAAAAGCTTTCTTCTTTGTGCACCAAAATGGAATGGATTATTAAAAAGAAAACCAGGGTCTCGGGCTCAGAACTTCACCATCTCCCAGGGAATACCCTCACACAACATAAGATCAACCAAATAGAACAGATTATTGATGCACGATTACCATTAAACCTATAATGTGTTTCTTTCTCCCTTTTGGCATTTGAACCTTTTAAGAGATAATAAGCAAAATTCAAGATTATACTGCCTGGGGAGGGGATGGAATACAAGGACGTAGAAACTATATTAGATTTGTATGGTGTGAAATATCAGATTTTGGTGCCCCAAATCTCTTTATAGAAACTTCCTAGTGTTTCTTTCTCTTCCCTTCTAATCTCAAGCCTCCCAAACCTACTCCTTGCCATTCTGTTCTCTTCAGTCTTCCTTATGCCCTTTGTTGGCACTGGGGGTTTCAGCCTTAGAGCCAGGTCTGGTATCCTTGTGTGAATTCAATTCATCAGATATGAGTTCCCTACTTTGAGATCTGGGGATATGCGCTGTTGGGTTGGAAAGGAAACTGGGTCTTTTTGCACTATCATTAAAGCTTTGTAAAGCATCTATAAAAAGCAAAACACATACTCATTGTCATGGTTAATTTTATATGTCAACTTAGCTAGGCTATGCTGCCCAGTTGTTTGGTCAGACACTAGGCTAGTTGTTAAGAAGTAGTTAAATCAAAAAAATCCATTCCGACTCATGGCGACCTCACGTGTTTCAAAGTAGAACTATGCTCCAAAAGGTTTTCAATAGCTGTGATCCTTTGGAAGTAGACTGCCAAGTCTTTCTTCTGAGACATCTCTGGGTGGATTTGAACTGCCAGCCTTCCAGTTAGTAGCCAAGCACATGAAGTAGTTACATGTGATTGAATCAGCTGGCCTTAAGTAAAGAGATTACCTTCTATAACGTGGGTGGGCCTCATCCAATCAGTTGAAAGCCTTAGGAGCAAAAATGGAGTCTTCCCTAGGGTGTACTCTGCCTCCAGACTATAAATAGATCCCTTACCAGAATTCCTCCACTCTTCAATTTTCCCATTACCTGACCTATGAATTTTGGAACTCAAGACTGTAGGAATCTCCAGCCTGTCTTCTGATCTACAGATTTTGGGCTTGCCAGACCCTGCAATTGTGTGAGAAAACTCCTTAAACTAAACCTCTATCCATCTAAACAGATAAAGATATAAACGGACAAACCTAGAAGAACATATATACCTGGCTCTGTTTCTCTAGAGAACTCTGAATAAGATACTCTTCTTCTGGCTAACTATTCCTTCCCTCATTTTCGGATTCATCACACCATCTCCACTTGACAAACTCCTAACTATCCTTCAAGACTCAACGTAAATTTGATCTCTTCTGAGATTTTCCCACTCCTGCCCCTTGAAGTCTTCGCTCCTCTAACGCTATTTAGCATTTTATCTGTGGCTCTCTTGGGGAATCACATTTTGTTTGGTAGTAACTTCATCTGCTGTCTCAGTGCCTCTTACAGGCTGTGAGTTTCTTGGCACTCTTTCTCATCTTTATATGTCCCATAGTGCCTAGCACAACGCCTGGCATGAAGGGGCCCCTGAGTAATATTTGCTAGATTAAATTCTACCATTCAATTCAAAGTGAAGACTTTGGTTCTGTTGCTGAATCCTGTGTTTCTGTCTTTGAAAATTAAGGTAAAAATTTCCAGCTACCAGTGTATTTGAATCCACTGTCACGGTTTCAGGGTTTTGTGTGAAGATGTGACCAGTAGCAGCAACTTCCTGCTGACTGCGAGGGGCTCACCTTCTCCATGATCCTGTCGATCTGGCGATTCTGTGTATCGATCTCATTGCCCATATCCAGGGCCATGTGACGGAGGTTTCCAATGATGCCGCTCACCTGCTCCAGGTTTTCATCCATTTCATTTTCTCGGGCATCATTTGTTACCCTGGGAGCCAAAGAGCAATTTTTAGAAGACAGAGGGTAGGAATACACCTAAATACCAAGGACCCAAAACTTAGGAAAAATCTGTAGACCTCTAGGCACCTTCAACGTTTTCGTCTCTAATGTCCGTCCAACACAAGAACACATTTTGACTTTTGTACATTAAAATAATATTAAAAATTGAATTTCTGAACTCTTGAATTTCAATTTTTAAAGAAAGTATATTAAACATATGAACTTATCTACTTCCCTCACTCCCACTATTGTTTCCCCCTTCATATTTTTATCTCAATTTTTATTTTTTAAGGGTAAAATCATTTTATTTGGGAGGACTCAAGGGCAGAGAATGAAGATAGAACTAGATAGAAACTATATTTTTCTTTCTGGAATATCAACCAAAGTCTCCAAGACTCAAATTCAGAATGAAAGAAAAAGCTAATTGCAGTAAGTCAGGCAATCTCTTTGCTCATCTCTTTTCCCACTTGGGACCAACATCAATGAAAAGAGTAATGATAATTCCAGTCTACCCCTTAATCCTGCTTGCTACCAAGAACTCCAAAGAGAGCTACTTGTTCAAGATGATTTTCATCTGCCAATATTTTAATGCCATGGAGTTTTTAGTGGCTTGTGAATGGGTGATTTTGGAGGAGAAAACTGTGGTAAGATTATTGTTCCGTTTAAGTGGCGCTGAGTGGAGAGGAAGGAGTTGGTTCTCAAAGTGTCCCACCATCTTGCCATCTTTCACAGTCCAGCTTGAAAGTTAAGAAAAGGGCACTATTTATGGAAAACAGTAAGTACTTTCTTCAGAATGTTCGGGCTAATTAACCTTTTCCCAGTACAGATGGTGATGGGCTAGAACATGTTCAGAGGGGTTAAAATCCCTTCCCCCCTGTTAACTCCCAATGCAGACTGGCCCACTATGGTTGTAAAAGCAGCCCAGGCCAGAGAAAATTAAAGAAGTTAAAGGGAACTTCCCAGCTTTCTCATATAGAGAAGCTTATTTAAATGATCATAGCAGCTAAGGCATGTTGATAGTTCCATGATTCTCAGTCCAGGTTGCATATTAGAATCCCCTGAGGAGCTTTATAAACCACACCCGCCACTTCTAGAGATTCTGATTCAATTGGTGTAGGTTGGTCCCAGGCACTGGTATTTAAAAAGAAAAAAAAAAAAAAAAACTCCCCAGGTGAATTTAATGAGCAACCAATGTTGAGAACCCCTGGTCTAGTTTCCCTGGGAACAGATAGAAGCAGGAATAGGAATAGAATTGTCATCTGTGAGGCTCTAGGTAGATAGCTAGACCTTATACCTAAGTGACAGTGATCCATCATTTGAGTCCGGGTTATCTGTTTACCAACAACAAGTACAATGGCCTGGGTATAGACAGCTGTACAAACGACTGCCCTAGCCACTGCCGAGTCCTGGTGTAGCAGCTTGTAAAAAGGGATACACATAGTTTTCTTCGTTTTCCACCACAGGAATATTTATTATTACTCTGTTTTCTGGTCTCCTAAGAACTGAGTTCTAAATTGGCTGAGCTGTATAATTTGAGATTTCTATAGATATTTAAGTTGGTTTTTGTATCTAGAGCTCAAAGGAAATGATTAGTCAGAAGCCAAGTATGCTCATGATTCCCTGTTTGCACCTTCAGATCCATTCTCTGACCTTTTTTGGCTCTGTGACCCAAGGGCATCAGCCAGTTCTCTGAGCCTCTGGCTTCCAGTAGGGTTTGGCCCATGAGAGATTGGAGGGAAAGAGGAGAGAGAGGTTGGGGTATGTATTTAACATTTTCACTCCCTGTGAGCTTTGGCAGTGGCTGCATTGCTGTGTCTATGGCCCTTGCCCCGGGCCACAACTATTGCCAGTTTCTGATACTAGCTCATTCTCCTGTCCCTTCAGGAGAATGTGGTAACAGCTTCCCACGATTGCTAGTCCCTGAGTACTTCACCATTCTTTGTTATTAACCCTGCCCACACCTCTGTAAAAAGCCTCTTTAATAAGCTCTATTCAGTTAAGCTCATGGCATGAGATGCCTTCTTCCTGCCTCATTGATCCTGGGTATGGCCATGTGACTTGCTCTGTCTAATGAAACTTCAGCAAATATGACACAGGCAGAAGTTTGATACGTACTTGTGCATTGGGGCCTGACCTCCTTGGAATGCTGCCGCCACCATATAAGAGACCTGAACTATCCTGCTGCAGAGGCCACGTGGAGAACAGAGGCCTCCGGCTGACAGCCGCAGTCCAGCCACTAGATGTTTGAGCGAGGCCATCTTGAATTATCCCACCCCCAGTTACGTGCAGCCCCACGAACGGGCCAGGAGAGGCTAGAGGAAGAACTGCCCAGCCAGCATATAGATTCATGAGTAATAAAATGGTGGTTTTAAGCCACTCAGTTTTGGGGTGGCTCTTACTCCATGATAACTGCTACCATGCTGACTATACAAAGCTCACCTGCGGATGAAGCCGCCACTGATGGCCATCTGCTCCCGTTCATCCACCACACGAGCAGGCTGGCTGGCCACCACTCCATCCTGATTATTGCCCCAGGCTTTTTTGTAAGCATCGCTTGATTTAAGCCTATGCAAAAAAGAGGGTGAGTGGCAAGGCATGGGGTGGAGCAGCAAACTCATAATTGTTACCTCTTCAAGTGAAGAACTGAACCAAGCAAATGAGTTTTAACTTGGGGCATTAGAGAATACCGATATATCATAAACTGGACCCAAACGGTTGGCCACCACCATGCCTCAGCTACTCAGCGTTTCATTTCCGATCCAGTCAATTGCAATTGTCAAGACTGCAACCTTTGCCCACAAGGTTGTTCTTGTTTTTGTTGGATTTAAGACAAGGATTAAGGTAGCTGGAGGACATTGAGTTCTATTTCAGTGACATGGTTATATTTTGAGACACAAAACACACAGAAAAACATATTGGCAGACACACACAAAACAAGACTGCCAAGAAGAGTGTGTTCATCACACCACAGCAACACACTGTCATCAAGAAAAACACACTCAACCAAGTTGTTACACACCATCATGCAAAGGCTGCCTACTTAAATATTTTTTTCCTAACCCGTGTGTGGAACTAATGTTTCCAACTCTGCATGAAGGACATAAAGGATTGGTGGTTGGCCAAGGGTGATGGTCTTTGAGTTTCATCAAGAGGAATTTGAATTAGATAATATATCGGTACTTTCAAACAGTCACCATACATCCAGAGTTGATGTACAAACCTTTGTCCACAGAGACAAAAAGTAAAAGAGGCATAGTGAAATGAATGCAGGAAAAGAGAAGAGAGAACAAGCCATCTAGCACCAGAAAGGGAAACCCCTCTACATCTTCTTCATGCACCAGCTACAGGCATGAGTAGAAAGTGAAGCATTCTCATTTAAGCCAAACTACTCCAGAAGTTGACCATTCTCGAAAGGCACTAGCAGGGCAGTAATAGCCTTCATGAGGATTTGAAACGCAGGTTAAATGGCTTCTTTGTTGGGCTAAGGGGCAGGGTGGGGCGTGCTTACCACTTCCTACTTCACACTCTCCTGGGGTTGTGGCAGGGGCAGTGGTTTGGAATTGGTGAGGTCTCCAGGGGCCATATTTCACTGAGCTGCTTTGGAGGGAAACTTAAAATCCAGGCATACCTGTCATGCCCAGTAGAAACATGTGCACCATATTTTGGTGGTTGTGTTGTAAAATTTAAAGCAATCAAAGATGTTTTTAAGTTCTTTGCATAGTAGGAACCACAAGCATTTTAGTCCAAAAGCAACAGAACTTCCTGTGGTCCCATTTCACATTTTCTATTAGAAGACACCAGAATTCGACTTTTTTCTTTTCTTCATCCACTAAAGGACCACAGCCATCTATTAAAATTGGCTCTAGTACTTGCAGATTGGGGATCAAGCAATCCTGGAGACAATTTGGAATAGTACAAATGGAATTTCAGCAACTCCCACGATCTAATGTATAATTCCACAGCCCTTAGAGCAGTGAGAATTTACTGTATTAAGGGCCACAGGGCCACCTGGTGGGACAGGATCTAAAAACTATTTAATAGAGTTTAGAATCTGGCTTTGTTTTCTCCAACTCCTTATCTCCTCCCTCCTCAGATTAAAAGAAGTTATATGGACTTTGTGATGTTTTCTGCTATGTAAAATGTCTCGGATCCCATCTTTGGCAAATTCCAGGGGGTGGGAAAGTATGCGTTTCTAAAAGAAGGCGAATCACTGCACCCACAACGCTGTACATAGACTCACATAACTGCCGTACATCTACCGGAGTCCTTTGAAACATGCCGAGACACGGCAAAGCCCTCAGAGAGGCCGGGGCCCCACCAGCCACTGCATTGTGACACATGGTTTTTAAAGCATTACTTACACGTGATAGGGAACACTTCAGTCAAGCTTTGAAGCTCAGTTAGTATCTCTGGCGCACTAAGGATTAGTGCCAACTAGTATGCGGAATTCATAGGAGCCATCATTTCATAAAAACATGGGTCTCTGTCCCAAGGAGCCCTGCCTCCAGCCTTTCTCCAAACACAGTTAATAAAAGAGAGAAAATATACATGTCGGAATTCATCACCAAATAGATGGAAATCTCACCAGGGGGCAAGCTGCCACTGAAAAGGCTATACAGTCAATCTTGATTAACTGGAATGCTTGAGCAATGCGTCGTTTTGGTGAACGACATTACTTTCTCAGTTAACAGTGGGCCATGGTGGAAAATTTGTTTCAAGCGTGATTGTTGAGTATCTTTGTTAGACTCTTGAGCCATTTTCATGCTTTAGGATCTTAGAGTAGTGAACGTCATTGAGTCTTTCTTAGGCTATGGTTTATCTTCGTGTGTCTGAAGATCAACTCTTATTGCTTGCTTGTGTGGGAAGCTGTAGGAGTCAGGAACGGATTACCCAATAAGCAAGGTACGCACGAGCTTACTTGTGCTTACTTAATAATCTGTAGTGCACCATTTCACTTGTTTCGCCTGTTTGTACACAAGTAAGCCCCTGCGTACCTTGCTTATTGGTTAATCTGCCCCTGCTAGGAGGGTAGAGGCTGAGTAAGGGAATATGTACTAACCAGACAGCCCTGGAAGAAAAACTCTTTTAAATCCTTGATTGGATTTTTTAAAAAATCTACCTCTTTTTGCTAAAAGTGGAATGGAGCAAAAGTATAAATACAGCTGAGGGTTCCAGTTAGCTAGATTCCAGTTGATCAAGGTTTACTGTAGATCATTCTTTTTTAAAAAAAGGTTATTTATTTGTAAATCGAGCCCCTCTCCCTCCTAAACAGGAAGTGGGATATTTTAAATCAGCTTCAAAGTTTAAAGGATGCGAACGGTCATATAATCAGCTAGAAATGACATCAATTTCTATTCTAAAAGCTGGGGTCAGGAAAGGTTTAGGAAAAAGGCTTCTTTTAAAAGGGGGAAGTGAGAGGGGTATGGGAAATGGGGTAATGGATTTAGTTTTCCAAATGCATGCTGGACAATCTGCTCATGCATTTTTTTCCCCCCACTGCTAGTCCAATGAGACTACCTTCCAGAACCCTCGGTTTCAGGTTCCTTCTGTTGCAAACCTTTATAACCACATGTCACATTTTCTGCTACATTCCAGAAAAAGCGTTGCAGAACCTTGAGAACAGTTGAATGTTTTGTGATGTTGTGCATGCAAAATCTACACATTTCAACATTTCAGCCAGTGTACAGGTAGATCTTCCAAGGGGAAGCATTTGAGAGGAATAGGTTCAATTCAGGGAAAACTTGAGCACTTCTTGTGGAACGGCTCATCGCCCCCGGGTCAGGTGCAGCTACAGCATCTGCAGGCTCATCACTGACCAGATTTGGCAACTGACTGGCAGTAGAAAGGGAGAATCTGCATCTCTCTAACTTGTAGAAATGCTTGCTTGGGCCAGATTACCTGATTCTTTTACTCTTGAGAAATCAAACCTTAGTATATGTGTTTCTCTTCTTCCAAACATACCTCCAGCCTTTTCTAAATCTGCAATTTTGGCTCTTGGGGTTGGGGATAATAAAGTTCCCTGATGCCTCTGTCTTGAGGCTGGGCTCTGTCTCAGGTACACTTTCTGGAAAATGTTGAAACGTTTGTCAGTAAAAGTTGCTGACAGTGAAGCTTTCACTGTAGTATGCCTGATTTTTAATGCATCAACAGTAACTCCCACTAGTATCATCTATGCTATGAAATGAATGCATTGGAGACGGTATTGATCTGTTCTGCATGCCACATGCTCCTCCTGCCTATGTGCCTGGCAGGAATGAGCTGGTCAAGGCTTGGAGATGGGCCTTGGAGGAAACCAAAGCTTCAGGCAGGCAGGCAGCACCTACTTGTTACAGGGACACACACAAAGCCCGCAGAATTTTCCTAGGTCCGTCAAATTCTTTTCTGCTTCTTTCATGTCCTTATTGATTTGGTCCATCCCTTCCTCAATGCGTTCCAGTTGTTCTGATTAAACACAAGTATTTTATCCCCACAGAATGAAGCAGATGGAAAAGGACAAAGAAAAAAAAGACAAAACTTCAGACATTCACTTTGACATTAAAAAAGGAAAAAAAAAAAAAAGAAAAAGAAAGAAAGAAAACTGGACGCCACAGATTAGAGCTGGTACCCAGTACCTACTTGTTACAAGGACATATGAAAAGGCCACAGCATTTCCCTAAATCTTTTAAATTTTTCTCGGCCTCCTTCATGTCTTGGTTGATATGGTTCATGCCTTCTTCGACACGATCGAGTTGTTCTGGTTAGGACAGAGGGATGACAGTGTGGAATGAATTTTTTGGGGGTTTCCAACAGAACATGAGACATGACTATGTGAAATGGAATTTGAAAGAGAAAGAAAGAGATTACAATGCATTGTCCAAGAGGACGCATTGCTGCAGACTGCTGCCGTCGCCCTACACTGGCATGGGTGGGAGGAAATGAACAAAAACAATGCTCCGAAGAGTTTGTAATTCAAACGTGATGGGATGGGGTAGGTAGGCCTGCTCAGTTTTGAATGTCCAGGAAGAGTACAGCGTATTCACTTACTCAGACACCAGTGAAACTCAAGAGAAAGAAAAACAGGGTGTTAGTTTATGTTTCAGCATTCGGATCCCATGCTACGAGAGAAAGTTATCTGCTTCAACTTTAAAATAGCTAAATCATTCGGTTGTAAGCATCCTCAACCAGGTAAGGGCAGACAATTTTCTTCGTTGGGGAAAACAACAACGTCAACAGCGGCAATAATTAGCAAAGGGCATCGGATCGTTTTTCCTCCCCTAGTAGTCGCTGTCTAGCCAAAGGTAGCCCAAGGTCCGTTCTTGGTTGAGAATACTTAATTCATAGAAGCCGTAAATAAAACAGTATCACGGTAGCACAGCAATGTTATAAATAACTGGAACGTTTAAATTCCCTTCTCATCCTAGGGCTTACAGCTATGACAGCTTTGGAAGGCATGTCACTTCTCTGTCCTTTGTTTTCCCAGCCTCTATACCATAGGGTTGCTATGAGTTGGAATCGATTCGACGGCAACAAGTTGGGTTTGGTTTTATAATGGGGGCATGCTAGATACCAACCCCAGATGCACAGCAGGGAAAATAAATGCACGGATCTCTTTGGAGGAGAGGTGATGGATTGGAACATAAGACAGTACTGTGTCATCGCTGCCGGCAAGGCTGACCTTAGTATATCTAAGACAGATCGATAGTCATAAAAGCGAATTGCACATCTAGGTTGCCGGTGTTACATACACTAACTCAATTAATTTTTCAAAAGTCGTGTCACCAAATTTAGGTAACTACCAGTTCACTGAAGGGATTTTTAAAACAGCTTTTAAGCCCATTAAAGGAAAGCAGCAGTGGGATGTCTGGGCTGTCTAGTTACAAAACCTAATTACATTTCCATTCCTCATTTCATTTCCATTTTCATGCATGCATGCTCAAGCCTCTGGGAATAAAGGCATGATTTGAATAAAACTGGTAAATAAGTTTCCAGCCTAAGGGCAAAAATAATCACTTTAAAACAATTTCACTTTAAACTGTAGAGTGGAAACTGTCATTCTGAACAACTAAAATGAGTTCACCAATTGTGTCCTCCTTTGTGGGGCTAAAGAATAGAATTGAGCTTGTTAGGAATCTGCTTTCTCTGCTCTACTCTTCAAAGGACCAGTGAAAACAAAATTTTCAGAGCGTTTATCCAGCCTCGTGAAAGTGGAAGAAAAAACAGTGTATTGTTGGCAAACGTCTGCTGAGTAAACACAAGTCCAGTGATGTCTTAAAAGGACTAAAAGAAAAAAAGGATATAATTCTTCCCATTTTAGAACAGTGTTTTTACTTTCTGGAAAGCTTTACACTAGTTTCCATTAAAGGCGGCAATAAATTAGTTTGTAGATGAAATTCACTATTTTAGAGAGAGGAGTGATGGAGGGAAAAGGAACTCAATGTCAAATGAAGAACCATTGTAAGTACAGACAGGAATTGTTGTTGGCGCCCAAATCACGGCAATCCCATGAACAGAGGCATGACACACTGCTGGTCCTATACCATCCCCATGATGGGTTGTAGACCCGACCATCGTGAGCCATAGGGTTTTTGTTGGCTGATGTTTTAGAAGGCTTAGTCTGGAAGCGCAGCTGAAACCTGTTCAGCATCACAGCAACACTCAAGCCTCCACTGATAGGTGGGTGATGGCTGCGCATGAGCTGCTTTGGCTGGGGATCAAATCTGGGTCTCCCACATGGAAGGCGAGAATTCGACCACTGAACCACCAATGTATAGGGGTGCAAATCCTAATCAAGTTATTGCTAATCACTTCTGGAGTGCGGGGTTGAGATAGACTGGAGGAGGGTCTGGGCTCAGACCCTCAACTAATAAAGCTGAAACAAGCATGGATTGTAGTGTGCGGGTTCATACTCAGGCATTTGCCCTTCCAGAGGAGTTTCTCTTTAATCACAAAGCAAGTTCATACTATTGCAGCCAAAATATCAACTCTCTGACATTTCAGGAACCTCATCTACTGTGCCTCCAGGGATTACTGGGTAACATATACATGTGAACTGGGCCACAAGTGTTGGACCTTGAACTAGAGAATTCAAATTGAAAGATAAAATAAACAGATAGGCCCAAAACCCTATTTTTGAGAGCAGGGTTCTGCCATGGGTTGCCAGCTTTTTGGCAAGGGTCAGAGAGAAAAGTTGGCTTAGCAAACTATTTTATACCTACCAGTATTCGTTGAATGGATCTTTATACACAGTTAGAAGTCAAACCTTAATTTAAAAAAATCTTGTAACCATTTTGTCATGGATATGTTGTGGATATGTTTGATATATTGGGACTTCCAACACTTCAGTGAATTCTGTGAAGACATTCCTAAGGAAATGCTTGAAAGCAAGTAATGTCCTCATTCTAGTTTAGGGTGGACAACAGCGTCTCTAAGCTGATGCAATGCACCGTCCGGGGTGACTGCTCATTACCTTCCTAAGCTTGCTTTCTGGCTGTCTTCTGGTTATTCTTGGAGCCAGGCAGAAGAATAATATTTTGCATTGGGAGAGTTGGGGTGGGGGGAGGCTTCCCAGTAGACTATACTACATGTTGGGACAAAGGCTTGAACTTTCTCTTGTCATGATGTTTGGGTGGCTGCTTATTTGTGATAGATTCACCAGTGACAGGATGCTGAGGATCTAAGTTTAGACATCTCTTCTACCATTCTTACCTAAGTAAGGCAACATGGACCCTTAGAATCTTCAACCTGGTAAAAAAATACTATAGAAGATTAGCAAGACATCAACACTACTGACCTAGTATGCAAGCCTTCATGAGTACATCCCGTTACAAGATGCTGCCTACATTTTCCTTAGCATTGATGAACATATAGAAATTTATCTAAATTTAAATAGGCACATGTGGCTAGTGGCTACCATATTGGACAGTGCAGCCTCAGTCATTGATAACATATATATTGGTGACTGGACTTTAGTGAAAAGGATGTTTTCTCACATGCTACCTTATAGTGCCAAGAACCTTTTAAGAAAGTTGGCTTTCTTGATGGAGATTTACTTTGCCTTTGCTCTGCTAGGTAGGGGTCAAAGACTTGACTGATTAGTTTGGAGTTGATCCCAGGGGATTTTCCCAATAGGCACAGCTTCAGCATCAAAGTAAATGTATAACTCAGAGAGAGCAACGAAAGGAACAAGGGATTCAGGGGTGAAAGGTTAAATCATCCCACATTAGTGTCAAGATTGTTTCTTGGAGATTTATCTTGGAGACAAGTTGTCTAGGGGAATAAAAGTCCCAGGGCTTGGTACATTTCCAGGGCCATGTGTCACACTGAGTGTGCCCTGGTGTCTCCTGATACCTGAACGTAAAACAAGAACCCCACAAGGAATTTCCGAGTGCAGTTGTTTAGCCAGGCCACGTGGAGTGGTCTGGCCTGGCCCAATAGCAGTTGGAATGGTTCTTTAGAAGGATGGTTGCTTCTTGAGACTCTTGTGTAGCTGTTGGGTAGAAACAGTCAATACTTGTGGTGCTCAGGCATAGAAACAATGAGCAGAATATAACTGAAAAGAAATTTTGAAGCCGTTACCGATCTAGACAACATGGCATAATTAGAATTAAAATGCATTTACAATGGCATCTGTCATTTAAAAAAGTCCTAATGTCATATGATAGTACGAATGGAATGGCTATCATGTAAGATCAGATGGAAACCATCCACTTTTGGAGGTTTTACACTTGCATGTTTCTCACTGGTATCAATGTTCACCATGCATCTAGTAAAACCCAGGCTATCTTAGGAAATCCGTTTAACTGAGGAATTCCGCATTTAATGTGGTATTGCCACGGTGGAAATGTTTTAGCTGAGAACGTTAATTAGCTAGTGGGGAAATCTGGCAAACAGACATTGTTTTTTAAGAGAATAAGAGATAGATGCTCCTGAGCATCGTTTGTGCCTAAAAATGTTTTTGCATTTATATGAGGATTTGGCGAAATTATATGTTTTCTTCAGAAAAGCATATTTAAATTTGCAACCCAAGTAAACATGTTATTCACTTTCTCTCTTTTTGATTCCAGGCTGATATATATAGTTTGTCATGTCTTTATGTCAACATTTATAGTTAGAGGAAGAAAGGGCATGATACTGAACCTTTCCCAAAGGTACTTCACACGCCAATTATTAACTGAAACAGTTTAGTGTATCATATGTAAATTTTGCTCTGGATATGAGATACCACTCTTCTGTATTGGCATCTGCTATTAAAAAGAAAAAAAAAAAACGAAAAAAGCAATGACTTGATACATCTTGAGTTTCAAAACATGGAAAACTTTTACACAGACCAAGCCATCAGGTCTCATAATTACAGCAAATTCACTTTGGGAATTCTGGAGACTGCCACAGTGATTGTAATTCCTTTGAAATACAACCCCACTAGACTCTGTTTTTTTACTATAAATTTTGGCAAATTCTATTTCAAAAATTGGGAAGAAAGGGGTGGGGTTGATGTTCAATGGTATTTTTGTTTAATTTTTACTGTGGTAAAATACAAATAACATTTGCCCCTTCAACCATTTGTATGTGTACCATTCAGGGACATTAATGACATTCACCCTATTGTGTAACCATCACCACTATCCATTTCCAAATTTTTTCATCACCCTTAACAGAAACTTAGTGCCCTTGAAGCAATACCCATTCATTTCCCCCTTCCACCCACCCCTGGTAACCACTAATAAACTTTGATCTCCATACATTTGCCTGTTCTGGATATTTCATATAAGTGAAGTCATACAATATTTGTCCTTTTGTGTCTGACTTATTTCCCTCAGCATAAAGCTTTCAAGGTTCATCCATGTTGTAGCAAGTATCTGAACTTCATTTCTCTTTATGGCTGAATAATATTCCATTATTCACAATAGGGGAGTCCTTGGGTGGTGCAAAGGTTAACGTGCTCAGCTGCTAACTGAAAAGTTGGTGGTTTGAGTCCACCCATAGATGCCTTGGAAGAAAGCCCTGGTGATCTACTTCAAAAAAATCAGCGATTGAATACCCTATGGAGCATAGTTCTACTCTGACACACATGGGGCTGCCATGAATTGCAATCGAATTGATGACAACTGGTTATTGGGTTATTCACAATAGCCAAACGGTGGAAACAACCCAGGTGTCCATACACACACAAAATGTGGTGTATCCATACAATTGTTTTTTGAAAACTTTTTTTCTTTTTCTTTTTTTTTTTGCTGATTAGTGAGTATCCAAAATTCTTTGCCGTCGAGTCAATTCCAACTCATAGCGACCCTATAGAACAGAGTAAAACTGCCTCATGGGGTTTCCAAGGAGCAACTGGTAGATCTGAATTGCTGATTAGCAGATGAGCTCTTAACCACTGTGCCACCAGGGCTCCAGTTGGAGAGTATTTATTTAAAAAGTTTGACACAAAAAAATAAATGTAGAAATAAAAGTCCTTATAGGACAACCACGGAGGTGTGCCCCTCAGACCACCCTTCACCTGCTGGGAAAGAGGCATGTAGATAGTTGAGGCCTCCAGCTGCTGCACCTGTGGGGTCCTCTGAGTTGTTTACATTGAGGCCAAGCATGCTCCCCCGGGATGCGTCTAGCTAATGGCTGAGCACAATGGAATACTAGACCTGGGGCATTCCTTCCCAGCATGGGGTTCCTCTAATGGGGAGACTTGTTCTGGGGCTTTCCATGGGCCTGGCTCAGACTTCTTCAGACTGCACTGCAGTCTGAGGCTCATCCTACCCAATTGTCTTTTTTCCCCCTTCACCTTTCACAGGTGTCAGACCTGCATCATCGTCTGAAGGCTCTCCCTGCCTACTGCTCCCTCTCCGCTTGATCTATCACAGGTGTTTTCCCCAATAAATTTCTTGCACTTCTAATTCCTTTTTGTCATTTGCTTCCCAGAGGACTCAAACTGATATACCTCCCTTCAGTCCCTCTCTGCCCCTGCCCCAACTCCCCAGAAGTCAGTAAAGATTTACCTCATTTATCGTAATGGTTACAGAATACAGGTAGTCCCTGACTTATGACAGGTTTCCGTTCCAGTGACTCCATCGTAAATCAGTGCTGACGTAAGTTGAATACCTCATCTTTTTTTTTTTTTTTTTTTAAGTTTTCATTATTATTGCCTTTATTATCAGAATCTTTATAAATCTGATTTTTATTAGTCTTTGGGGGTTGGCATGAGAATGATAACAGCAAATTATTCACTGCAACATTGTATGTAGTACATATTACTAACAATAAGAGATACAAGAAAAAACCAAACGGATGGTTGTAAGTGCAGTTCTTTGTTGTAACAGAAATCCATCATAAGTCGGGGACTACACGTATTCCTTCTATGGCCATATCATTATTAATTTGGTTGGTTTCCTCACTAACAGACATTTAGCTCATTTCCAGTTTTACACTATTATAAATAAGGCATGTAATTTTTTCTTTGTGCAATTGTAAATGTGTATCTGCAGTGTAAAATTCTAGAAGCAGAATGTCTTGGTCAAACATATGCATTTCAAAAAATGAAATATTATCAAACAGTTCTTCAAAACATTTGTACAATACCCATCTGTAGAATGACAGTCCCTGTTTCTCCACATACTCACCAGCACTGGTTATTATCAGTTTTTAAAATTTCTGCCAGTCTGCTGCATAAAGAGTGGTATCTCATTACTACTGTTTTAACCTTTCTTAGATTCTGAGTGAGGCAGAAGCATAATTTCGTATGTTTATTTGTAAACTGATTATTTTTATCCTATATCCATTTTTCTCTTGGGCTGTTGTCCTTATTCTTGATGTTATGTAAAGGCGCTCTCAATTTTAGGGAAAAGTGCCTTGTATTTGTTAACTGTATGACAATTTTTCCCCCCAGTTTGAAGTTTATGTTCAGACTTTGTTTATGTTGTCCCAGGCTGTGAATATGTTTTACGTTTTCATCTTTTACATAAAAAACTCATAGTTCTGAAGAATTATTTAACACTTTCACAAAAAATGCATGAACAGAAACATTTTATCAAAAATCTATTTATTAGGATAAGAATTCAGAATGGAATCTGGGACAAATTTGTGGCTAGAATTAGTAAAACATCACCAGATGGCTAGATATGTTGAGACAAAAGAAAAATTATGGTATTACCCTTCTAGGGTTCCACTTTAGGGTATGGAGATGCCATACGAAAATGCTGGCCCTCTGATCTCCATTTCTCCTAACACTGCATATAATAAAAATAAAAATTATTATTTTTTTTTGCAAAATATTTCAATTGGTTCCATTTTCCAAATGATCTCCCTCTGGTCATATCCTGTTTAAAATGGCTTCCAGTTATTTAAGGGATGCTCACAATAAACTGGAAATCTAAACTGCCAGATAGTGAATTAAGATGGTCGAAAGACGTGAACAACATGCCGTACTACTATCCTATTCTATCTAGAAATTATCTGAAGGAAACCAAATTTATGGAAAAGATTGGGGGCAAGGAGAATAAGAGAATTCTCACACCACCCAAAATACTATCATTTAAAGAAAATTGCAAACAAATGGCTATTGTCTTCAAAATTCTGTTACCCCAATGTATATAATGGTGATAGTAGTACCTTTCATTCAGTCATGAAGAAGGCCTCAACCTTTCCACATATTTCCCAATCTTTTCAACAAGGGAAGAAAAAAAGCAAGATAAAAGTTCTAGAACCCTTATACGCATGTATGTGTGTAACACATGTCAAAATGGCCACCTGGATTTGCAAAGACAATATAAAAATGTACTTTATTCAGACAAAGAATTGTTCTTACTGAAGATATCTGAACTTACCTCCTTGTTCATCCAACATAACCAAAGTCCTGATACCAGCATCTTTACTCTATATTCCAATAATGGTAGCAAAGTTGAAAAGGAGTTAGAGAGAGAAAAGAGAGAAACAGCGACATCAGTAAAAAGGACAATTAGCCCTAGAAATGGAAAACGAGGAAGGACCAAAGGGAAGAAATATGGTGAGAGCATGAAGGAGCTGGGAGGGACATGGAGGAAGGGGTACTTGTGCACTTGCTCAATCCATGACTCTTACGGGTTGGGGGAAGTAGAGGGGGATGTAGCACAATCCCCATGGGGTAGAGCTGGGGATGGGGCTTGACAAGGAATTGGAAAACACATACTTAATATTGTACTGTGAATTTATATTTGGAAAATAAAAATGTCTATAGTGTTCCTAACACAAACCACAGAAAGCAAATGTTTCAAAATCTTCTAGAATAAATGTTCTTCTCCAGCAGGATATGTCAGAAAATCTGCCTCACTGAGCTGGGGAGGGAGGCCCCACTGGGAAGATATGTAAGAATCTTGAGGGGGAGGGGGAGATTTTTAGATTACTCAGAAGAGAGCATGGCTTTCACAAAGGTTGAGAAACACAGCTCAAAAGGAAACTCACGGTCCCATTTTCTTTTATGGAGAGGACTGTGAGATTCAGAAAACGGATTGGCGGATGAGAAACAGGGGTTCTTTATTCTGAAATATAAAATGCTGCACAATGATAGGGTGTGAGAAAATCATTCCTCCACCACAGCTCTGCTTCACTTGTCTTGGGCAGGAGAGGTCTTCCAAAGGCACTTTCCATGTCACTCCTTATTACCAAATAAGCCAAACACCACCTGGGTTATTGTGGGGAGAGGAGCGGGAGGTGGTATAGCGGGGAGAAACAGAGGTTTCTACACTGCTCATACTTAGGAATCATCAAATCTCGGAATCCTTTAACTAAGAAGTCCGAGATTAAGATTCTCAAGTTAAGGCTAAGTAAAGACCTTCCATTTTACAGGATGCCTTGTTAATAGTATAAAATGGAATTGCTTACAGTTTGGATTAATTGATTTTTCAAGGAAAGTTCATGGTGGACCCCAGAATAAATTCTAAAATAAGACATCTTTCATAGGCCCATTTATTTTCCGCTGACTTACTTTGAACTAAGAAAGATGTTAGTAGAGATCAACAGAGTTGTTTTTTTTAAAAAAAACAACAACAACAGTATTTTACAAATTAAATTCCAATAATGCTTCTAAAAAATGAAAGAAAACACTGAAATGATTTCTGTGAGCTTTTATAAACCGACATCTTCAGAGTATGTGTACAATTCAATTAACTCCTCTAGACACAAAAATCTCTCTCTTTTAAACACACTTTGATAGGCCTTACTTGCAAAGCCAGGATGTGTTTTGTAGAGTGATGGCCGAGAATGACTTACATAGTCATTGGTCAGCATGGACTCCAGAGCCAGATGGCCTGGGCTGCAATCCTGGTGATTTCATTTCCTAGCTGTGGGACCTTGGGCAAGTGTACTAATTGCTCTGAAACTCAGTTCTCTCATTTGTAATACAGGGATAATAACAGTATATACCTCACTGGGTTGTTATATGAATTAAATAGATAAATATGTGTAATGTGCTAGAATGGTGGTTCCTAGCCTATAGTAAGCATTATGTGTTTATAAAGCAAATAGACCCAGAAAATGCATTGATAGCAGGATATCAAGGCCAACCATAAACATCATTACCAACTACTATAGAAGCTTCTAGACCACTACTTCTCAAACTTTAGAGTGCATATGAATCCCCTGGCGATCTTGTTAAAATGTAGATTCTGGTTCCGTAGGAATGGGGTGAGGCCTGAGGTTCTGCATTTCTAAAAAGCTCCCAGATGATACTGATGCTGCTGGTGCAGGAGCCAACATTGAGTAGCAAGATTCTAGACCACAAAAGCCATTTAAAATTTGTTTCAGAAGCAGGATGTAAATGGACTTTCAACTATACTAGCCTATATTTTAACATTTTCTGTGCTCTGTTGTGATATTTTAGCTATTGGTTATGAATAGGAAATTAAGAAAAGCAGCTGACTTAGGGATATGGCTGTGATGATGCAACTTCTGGTGAGGACAGAGCATCTCAAAGAGCATTTCTCCTCCGGGGACCAACTCCAGGCCAAGCATAGCATTCCTGTTCCATTCTGTTGGAGACAGCTGCTGGGAAGCAGGCTGGTGATTTCCTTTGGTTAGTCCAACTCTCATCTGTCTACACTTTCTTGATCTCCTCTATAGATATGGAGCCCTGCAAGTGTAATTTCACCTTGGTCCAATTTGATGCTGAATGTTTCGGCACTGGAATGATTACAGACCTAATTTGAAGGAGCAAGAGATTTTTTAGGTTGCCCCAATGTGAAAGAACAGAAGCAGAGAGCACTGAGTGCAGAGACAGGAATGCTGGGCTGTGCTCTTAGGTCTGCCATCAACTAGTCAAGAGACCGTGGATGAGTCACCTGACCTTTCAGGATGTTTTCTCATATTTTAAATTAGGGTAGAGATGCCAAACAAGTTCGGGTGGCTTAGTAGGTTGGTTCATTCACTCACTCACTAACTCTCTCTTTCTTTCTCGTTCATTTACTCATTATTTTATTCATTAATTGATTAATTCATTCAATTCAATTCAAAAATATTTATTGAGCTTCTACTCTGCCCCGGATGCTAAAGATAAGGGGTAGACGAACACATGGTTTATCAACTATGCCTCTCAGTGTGAAAGGCAATTTGGTCAGTCAGGCAGAGCTAGGATTTAGGAGTTAATTATTCTGAATTCTAGACCTGTAGCTCTTGAGTCACTTGTTCTGTGCCTCAGTTTCCCCATCTGGCAAATGGAAGGAGTAACATCCTCACTACTTTCCAGAGTGGATATGAGGATAAAATGAGCCCCAGAATGTGAAGACCTCTAAAAGCTAAACTCTGAGGAGACCCTGCTAGGTTCAGAAAAGATCACATTAAGATGTGGGATTTAATTTGAGTGGCATTCCAAACAATTCAGAATGAGCACATTATTGGTTTTCTTAGAACCTTACACTTTTAGTGGTGTTTTCAAAGAAAAAAAAAATTGTAGAAGTTGCTAATGGAAGGGAAGTTAGTTGCTATGCCTAAGAATTCACTGTCTGGAATCAGGTAGATTTGGGTTTTAATTTCATCTCTGCTATTTATTAGCTGTGTGTCCCAAGGAAGTTAATTAACCACTCTGTACCTCAATGTCTTCCTTGATAAAATGGAGATCAAAGTAATAGTAAAAGGTGGTTATAAGGGTTACATTAGATAATATGTGGGTGATGAGGGGGATGATGATCTCTACAACTGCTCTGAGCAAGCACAGTACCTGGCGCATAGTAAGTTCTCAATAAATGTTGGAACTTACATTTGGCTCCACTGTTTTGCTGCCAGTTTCTATCAAAATAACTGGGTTGCTCCTTGGGGGGATCAGAAGTCCAAGGGAGAAGGGTAGGGATGGGGATGATATTTCAGGGGAGGCACAATACTTCTCCTATTCCTTAAAGAGTACTGTGTTATAATAGCTAGATGTGAGAGGAGGTGGTTCTATTTTTATCTTAGCTCAATTTGTGGTTTCTGTTTGAGATTTCTGGGAAAGCGGTCTACTTAACGGAGGAGTTGGAGACATAAGGGATTTTCTTTCTTTTTCATTTCTTTCTCTATTTTTATTTTTTGCAGATGAACTAAGTGTTTACAGTACATGTTTTATCTTTGTTTTCCCAGTCTGAGATGCTTTCCCCAAAGTCTAATGCATTTGAGCTAAAATAGAACTCTCCAGGCACTCTCTTAACTGCTTGAGTTCCAAAAGACCCCAAATCTGCATATCTGGAAAGAACTGTCCCCCTCCACCCCTGAGTTTTCCATTTTTAGCTGAAAGTCTGGCATACATAGCACAGACACAGTTTCAGAATGCTTATTCTATTCTCACGGTCAAGTATCTTGAAACATAAGTTGGCATTAAAAGAAAAAATGCTAAAGTATCTGTAAAACGTTAGGGAGCCCTCAGTAACCACTTTCTAAAAGCTGTGTGTGGCTCTGTTGGAATCAATCTGCTCTAAACCAGTGTGGCTTTTCCTGGGCCTCCTTTTCATAGCCCAAGGTTATGCAGACTTCATTTGCTGCACTTAGCATTAGCAAGGTTAACTTACCTTTCCCAGAATCAAATGCTCTCTCCTTGAGGACACCTTCATGATTCTCCCATCAGAATCAATTGTTTCCTCCTCTATAAGCCTAAGGTAGCTTATGGCCTTGAATTTGGCAAACTATTTACCTGTCTGTTTCTGCATATCAATTTCTATCTTCCCTCCTACCCTCAGAGCTAGGCATTGCATAAATATTTGTTGAAATGCGTCCATTAAAAGAGACAGTTCCCAATTATGGGGTGGGGTGGGGAGGTGGAGAGCAAATGCTGCTATATGATTTCTAATCTTGTTAACTGTTTGTGGTGTTCAGCTTTTTTGAACTTGCCCCATTGACCTCTGTGTAGTTTACTTGGCCCTTGAAATGGTGATGACGATGTCAATTAAAAATAACTCCCCATCCCTGCCACCCTGTTACACTCTGGAGTGTATTAGGGATGGAATGATAATCTCAGAAGTCATATATTCCAATAAAGGTGAAATTTTTTACCTTAGAGACACCTCATAAATTGGTAACCTCTCCTGTCTTTGAGACTGAATTTCAATAAAAAGTCAGCCCAATTCAAAACACATGGCACTGATGTACTTTGGGATCATGGGCAAGATCCTGATATTTCAATGCTCAGATTTTCAAAATGATTTCTGCCCTTGATGAATATTTAATGCTGATTCTCTTTTAAAGAGAATTTCCTTTTTGATTGAAAAGGAGGAGATTGTCTAAATAGCCAATGTCCTAGACATAAGGGATGTTTGACCATAAATATAAAATAGCTCAGGAGGAAGTAAGAGCAAATCAATCTACTCTAATAGTGCCTTGCTCCTAATTTCCTGCAGATGGAAAGTCTAATAGCCTCCTCTCATTTATTAGAGGTGGGAGATAGCTTCCATCTGTTTTATTCTTTGTTCTAAGATGTGACTTCATGCTTGATGGAGAATGAATATACGATTCGAGAATCCTACTTCAAGCAATAGCACTTTTGAGATTTCTCCCAGAAAAAATTAGAGCATACATTCATCATTCAAGACTGGCTCACATTGCCAGCAGTTTAAGAAGACACAAAAAAGGAAGCATCCAAGGCCCAGAATCCAGATGGGTGAGGGGTCTCTCCAAGGTGATGTGTTCTGATGCACTCCCTCCACCCCCTTGCACATTCTAGGCAGCGTTCCAACATTGCACATTGGCGATAGTTCTGGTGCTTTAGGAATTTACTTCACATACGCATACGCATAAAAGAAAATGAAAATTAAGGTTGGAGGCTATGGTTGAAGGTCATAAAGACTCGCCAAGATAATTAGGTCAGTTGACCTCTGCACTCCAGGGTAACGTCAGAGCTCAGGTAGGGATGTTACCAAGGTGTGTTCCTTCTGTTTATCCTCATGGCAAGTTGGGGGAGAATAAGTCTACTCTGAAAGCCTCGCCAGCACTCCTTGATTTAGAATATCTGCCTCCTTCTTGGTCGTCAAATATTTCTGCATATGAGCAGTGTTCCCAGGATGGAGGGAAGAAAACATCTCTCTTCATCTAGAGACAGAAGGCTGCTTTCCAGTGCTGCCCCACGCCGGGCCTGCCTTCCTGTTGGGGCCACCTGGTGCTAAGTTGCAGCCTCAAGTTGTCATTTTTTGTGATAACAGATTTCGTGAAGTCTACCAGCCCCCTTCAAGGTAACCTTATTCTCCCCCGACTCCTGTGGCCGTTCACATGGAGCCATAATTCATTCCTAGGGGAGAGGCTGAAGCTGCAGAAATAAGGGAAGATGTTGGCTCCCACCCAGTGTGAGAAGCAGTCGCCTTTGCTCTTAGCCTTTGTAAAATTTATTTTTTTTCCCTTTCATGCCATTGCACCAGCAATTTACAGTAGCATGGAATAGGTAGGGCCATTTAATCATTCTGTTAGAGAATACCTAAGATCTCTAAAAATGATAACTGCCATGGGCAGATTAACCAGTAAGCAAGGGATGCACGGGCTTACAGTCAGCAAGGTACTCACAGGCTTACTTGAGTTTACTTACTAATCTCTAGTGCCCAATTTCTCATGGGCTTTCACCACAAACAGGTGAAATTGTGCACTACAGATTAGTAAGTCAGCACAAGTAGGCCTGTGCACATCTTGCTTATTGGGTAATCCGTCTCTAACCGCACATGAATTTACACATTGTCGAGCAGTTTCAAAGTATAGGGAAAACGGCATCTCACACAATAAAAAACTATTAGGCTTGTTTTATTAGGTTCAACTAAATATAGTCCATCCCATTTTTTTCCACTTCATCTCTCCCAATGGGCAAGTTCAATTAATCCACTTGTTCTTCCTGGTTGACTGCTGCTCTGCCAAATTGGAATGAGTGAGGCTTACTGCAGATGCCCTTTTGATTCCATTATTGCTATCTGTCCTCTTTTGCTCATTTAAAAATAGTTTGGGATTCATTAACCATGCCGCACAAATGGATGTTCGATCCAAATTCAAGAATATAAAAGGGTGTCTACATTTACATTAGGGCACTTGATATTTCCCTTTCTTAAAGAATTTTCCTATTATTTTATGAATTTTACTGCCTGACTCTCAATATAACAACTTCTGAAAATATGATATTCCTATATGGGTAAATATTTTTAAAAGTCATATATGTGGTTAAAGTCAGAACAAGATGTCAAAATTAGATATGACTCACAGGCATCAAAATAATTACAAATACGTTTTATGTAAATGATCTTGTCCCTAGTGATTCAGTCTTCGTGATTTCTTAGGAGCATTTACTTGGAAATACTATCTTTCTCTGCATCCTAGCTCCAAAGGTAGCCTGGAACAGGAAGGGAGAGTAAATATAGCTTGATGGCTACCTGGTAATTTAAATACAGCATCTCCCTCTTTATGTGGCTTCCTGGCAGGCAAATTAACACTAGAATCAATGGGAGCATGGCCCAGGGAGGGGCAGTAGGGTCTAGGAAAAACACATGCCAGCATAAGGGGCTAGATTTATCTTTAAATATGCTCACTCCTTACCTCTTCAACCAGTTGCAGCATACGACGGGTACTTTCCAGCGACTAAAAGAAAAAACGTAAATATTATGAATACAGGATCCAGAGGCTTAGAAAGTTACAGAAATACTTTCTTCCCTTGAGAAACACAAAGGGTTGCTATCACATGTTCTTTTAAGTTTGCAACTAAAACACAGAAAGTCTTTCCATTTTAAATCTCTTTCCTATCAGGCTTTCTACATGATAAGATTCCCTAAAGCAATTAGATTATAGTTTATCTTCATCAGATCAAAATTATAGGAAGCTGATCTTGACAGCACAGACAACGGATCATGAAAAGACAATTCTGCATGTGTAGGACACATGAAAAATTATTTCAAATAGCCCAGAGGACTAATTTGATGGGAACTTTGACTTTTAAACACATAATTATAATTTTTCATGAATTGGGATGAAAATAACATCAACTTTCTTATAAAACTCCTGGAAGCACAATAGGAAGTTCTTAATAAAAATTAAACTGTTGCTTTAGGCTGAAAGAAATCAAGCATGTTTGGCATAACTGGCCCATAGGAGACAGCGAAAATAATTATCTCCATCCTTAGATAAGAAAAAATGAGAAAGTCTGAACTCAATGATGTTCCCTTGGGCACAATATTGCCACTTTTTTCTCAGTTTCTTTGAAACTACTAGAATCTAAGAAGCAGTTGTGATTTCTAAAAGCAGTGCTTTTAAGTGACAAACTTATTTTGGACAAGATTCTGCAAGAACCTGAAGAATGTTAACTTTCCTGTAAGAGCTGTCAGCGGCTGCTTTTTGAAATAAAATGACTATAAGCAGTGGTGTGCTAGCAAACGTTTAACAACTGGCTCTCTGGAAAAGATATGAGTGCATGTGTTTAAGTATATTATTTGACTGATGTAAAGGATAAGCATCACACAACTTACAAATAGTAAAACATACAATACTGTTTATTGTGAATTCCATTTAGCCAATTGATTCTCACAGAATGCTTGTACTGATTTTTGCTGAATGTTTGTGTCTATAGCCAACTGTTTGATGAACAAGTGTTTTGACATGAATGTTGGATGATATTTTCATTTCCATTAAGGAGTAAGGTAAAAGGGAAACAATGAAGACTTATGTTGCAACTT